ATCATGGATTCCTATCCCAGCCTTACCCCTAAAAGCTGCAGACAGCAAGTCAAGTAAAAACAGATAACCAACATTTTGGGAAAATGCCTCTAGCTCATTTTCCTTCAGTCCTGGGTCATTGTTCAGGCTTGTGACCCAGACACACGTCTGGAGCTCCTTGCCACTGGGGAGCTGCTGGGGCTTATTCCAGCTGAGACATAAACCTCTGTGAGTTTGAGAGAGCTCTGTTAAGAGGCTGTGCTAAATTTGGGGTTGTAGTGTCCATCTCCTCTGAGGAAACTATTCTAGAAATTTATTCTGTGAGAATAATTTTCCAGTGAAAGGGTGGGATTATATTCCTTTAATTTATTTTTTTTATGGTGGTAGGTGTACGGGGTTTTTTGGGCATCATTTTGATTTGGGTTTTTGTTTGAGCTTCTTCTTTGTTTGATTGTTTAACAGCAACTCGTGCTCACTAATTCCTGGCACTTGGAATGAGGCAGGTCCATCCTCTGGGAGAGGAGCAGAGCACAAATGTGTGGAACTGCATGACCCGTACTAGGTGACATTAGTTTTAACTGAACTCTGGACTACAGTTAACATTTGTTTTTTGAGACCTCCAGTAGATCATCTAATTCCAGCTTCATCTTCTCACCAGTTTGATGAACACCACAAAACCTTTTCTCTGTTTTCCCCTCCCTGCCATCTCTGTTGGTGTTGAAGATGGAGGCTGTCCCAGTACAGCCTGGCTGGTTTGTTCTCCAGTGTCACCTGGGCTTGATTGTGAAAATCCCCCCATGCAGGCAGTGCCTTCCAATTATCCCAATTTCCCTCGAAGCAGGATGCAGTGCACTGGCAGGTGGCAATGAGCTGTTCAGCTGTGGCTTGTGGCTCTGCCTCTGGGCACAGAGTGCTCTTCCCTGTGGAGCCCCAGAGCTGCTCCCAGCTCCAGAGGCTCTGGTGGCACGGAGAGCTCTGGAACTGTGAGTCCCTCCTAGAGGCTTGGCTTCACCTTTCAGCAGAGCCCAGCCAGGACCCTTCCCACTGCTGCCTGCTTCCACCTGCATTCCAAACTCTGTAGGGAGCTGTAAGCAGGGTGAGCCCTCCCCTGGACCATCTTGCTCAAGCTTCACTTGGTTTGCCCAGAACCCTTCCCTGTGGTCTGTGAGTGCAGCCCAAGCTGCTCAGACCACCTGTGCCACTCACTGCTGCCAGTGACATGTTCTGTAGGAGTTTGGAAGCTTCACATCCTCATCCAGTGGGGTTTTTGATACTTTATCTGTATGGATGCATTAAAAAAGAGTTTGTATGGCATTTCTTTTGTGAGCTGCTCTTGCTAGAATTATCCATCTGTTTTTGTACTGTAATGACATAAATCCCAAGCTTGGACTAGGACTAACAGCAGTGTGAAACAGTTTTAGTTCTTGCACATATTGGCTGTAGTACTAAATGTTGGTGACTCCCTCTCCCTCTGTTCCTGTACATGGGATTTGCTGCCATATTTAGTGAAATTTCTCAGGACAGAGGTATAAAACACGAAGAAATCTACTTAAGTTAATTGATGCTTAATTTACTTTTTGGCAGAACATTGTTCCTTGGTGTGGCCTGAGTGCCAGGGAGGGGCAGGTCAGGTCAGTGTTTCAGAGGGGCCAGGCATGACTGTGCCACTGAATTTCAGTGTTAGACAGAGATGAGCACTTGGAGGTGGCAGCAATGAAGATCTGAATTAGCCACTGTGCAGTTTAATAGCAGCCTGTCCAGCCAGTGCTGTGCTGTTGGGGAAGCTGATAGACTGTTTCAGCAATCTCTGCTAACTTGTCTTCTAAGATTTCTGTATAGAGCTTGCTTCTTTTCTACTTGACCTAGTTTATGCTTTGCATGTTAAGTCAGTTCCTACACTAAAAGCCTTCGTTCTCCTGCTGCCTTGATGGTTTTCTAGTGCATTGGGTCACCATTCCAGACTACTATTTTATTTATTTGTGGTCATGTCTTTCATCTAACCTGCTTCAGAGCAAATTCTTAATTTTCATTAATTTAATTCTTCTCTGCAGCATTACTTTGGGAAAATGTGTAATGGCTATCTTGGGCCATTCTTCCTCTAGGATTGAGAACTTTCTCGTGCTTATGAAGTGAAGTTTTGGTGCAATATGTCTATGAGGACTTTTTTTTTGGCAGGAAAACTAATCTCAAATGCAGTAGCAGGTCTTGAGACAGCAGAGAATTGATGAGCTTGGTAAGATCAGAGAGGAAAAACAGATCTCCAGTAAAAGCAAGCACAGCTTTCAAGGCACTTAGCAGAGGTATAGAGCATTTTAAGTAACACAGATAAATACCTCCCTGGAGCTTTTGCTTTTTCATCTAAGCACAGATCAGAGAACAAATAGGAAAATGTGGGGGCAAAAAACAAAAGCTTTAAAGATGCCAAAGAACATTTTTCAAGCTGAAGGTTACTTTCAGCAGTGAAAACAGGAGAAGATGTGTAGGGGAGCATTGGAGCCATGTGTAAAATAAGGGAAAAGAATGAGATCAGAGGGCAGCAGAAGAGTTTTGAATTAAATGATTGCTGAGTTGCTTCTTATAAATGATTTATTTTTATTTATTCTTGAAAAACATTTCTAATTTGTTTCTGTGCAACACAAACACACTGAAAGTTGTTCATTACTATCAGACAAAGGCTTTTCAGACAGTATATGAGCAAAAAGTGATACCTTTAATGACCTCAATTTAGTTTTAAAAGTTCCAACCATGGTAGCTCTGCATGAAACTATTATATCAGTGGTATTCCAGCTAGTTTTGAGTTTTATATTAATGGACTAGGTCTTAACCCCAGAATTGCTTTATATGCAATCTATAGTACTGGCACATATTCAGTGCAGAATTTCTGTATAATGAACTATGTGAGGTGTCAGAGCAGAGCTAGGGGAATGCTTGATTTTTTTGTGAAATGTCACTTAAAGTTGAATGGTTGGGTAGTTCCATACTTGCACAGAAAATTCTGCTTTAATCATAAGCTCATATGCACCTCCGTGTCCTCAATTGCCATCAATACCAAGTGGAGTTCCAGCTTCAGACAGTCTTTGCTGTGTTGTGCCTATTTATTGAATTCAAAGCACAAACAAGCAAGTAGTTAGTTTAAAAATAGCTCATACTCGTCATTTTGATGTCAGGTCCCTGCATTGAACTGATAGCTGCTACACGGAATTTAAACCTCACTGTTAATAGAAGTGATCAGGTGGTGCAGCCCTAACAAACTGAAAGTGTTGGTGAGGACAAGCTCTGCAGGTCTGGCTGTAACCTCTGTCAGCACTTTGTTCAGTGTAATGTGGTGCAGCTTTGGTTTCAGGTAGTAATTAGCTAATGAACCATAGGGTGCTTTCTTTGACCCAGTGGCACCATTAGGTGCTTAAGATGCACTTGCACCATTAAGGGAAATGAGGGCTCGAGACCAGATTTGTCAGTAGCTCCCTATTCAATCTCTACAAGGTCAAGCTCACAAGATTTTTTTCACCTGTTCTGCAGATATTTGGAGGGTAACATCATGTAACTTGCACAGCCAGGAGTGTTGATAGTAATGTCTGTGTTTTCATTCAGTTTTACTCCTGTAGCCATGTCAAGTCCACTGAACTAAAATTCCTATTTATATCAGCAGTTCTCTGCATCATGTCTGTGTAGGTACTTGCTTCCTGCACAGAAATCCTCCTAAGCCCACTGTTTTGTCATGGAAACTGTTGCCCTAGCAGTTGCTAATCCAGATGAATATGTCAGCAAGTGTTTTCTTTAATCACTGTCATTTTTCACAGATTTGAGGACAGAAAGTTCATGTTCAGTACCACTACAAGGATAGGATGAATGACACTACATGCCACTGAAGGGTATTTGCTAATACCTCAAGGAGACTTTAGGAAAAAGATCCTGCCCATGAAACAGATGAAGTGACACTTTCTTCTGTGCAAGGAGTATAAATGCCACATTTTTATTTCTCCCAGGCTTGAGACTTCAGTGTTTGTTGTAGCTGCAGGCTGTGAACCCTCTGTTATCTGTATGTTGTTTGGGGCTGTGCTGAGCAGAATGGCCTTCCTGTGGTAATAATGGATAATTCTGGAGCAAGCACACTTTTAGGCATCAAAAAAGATTCTCAAATAAGTGTGTGGACAAAGAGGAAAGTGAATGTTTTTCCCAAAAGCTGAGACTTCCTTTGGCCAGATAGGATTTGGTAAATCCTAATCCTCAAGGTATGAAGTGGCAGACACGAGCTGCTTGTTACCTAGTCCAGTTTCCTGTCAACACAGCAAAGTCACATTTGTACCATCATTGCCCTGTGCCTTTTTTCAGACCTTGTTTTCCTATTCTTGCTTGATCTTTTCTTTGCAACGTGCAAAGCAGTTGTTGAATTTTTTTAAATCATATTTTCCAGTCAGAAAAAGACACAATCCTTTATGAGGGTACAACATGAGTGGAGAAAAATTCTCAGAAAAGCAGACACGCATGAGGGTGGAATTCTGCCCCAAAATTTCCTCTGTAGTTTCCTTGTCTTTTTTCCCTTTATGCTGCATTAGGGTGCCCCTTGCCTCAATGAGCTCCTGGAGGACTGTCCATGTCAATTGTTGTTTTATCATTTTTCCTCCTTCTTCCTGTTCCTACACAAAGGCAAAATATAGTTTACTGTCTTTTGTGATTGGACACTCCCAGAAAGCATCCCTTAAATCAAGCACTGAATAGCAGCAGTGTGAGGAGGGAACCTGGCTCAAGATGGTCGAGGATCCAGGATCGTGGAGTGCCTGGGTTTGATCAGGATGGGAGTGTTATGGGGGGACATACATGGTTCCAAAAGACCCACTCATGCCTTCCCTTCAAAGGGCCCATTGCTTTTTAGGCACCAGCTGTCCATGTTGCCTCAGAGTAGTGTGGACAGGCTCCATGTGCAGTTTTCCATATTCTCCCGGGACTGCCCACCCCTCTGGCTTCACTCCAGCCTCCACAACAGCGTGCTCCGTGCCCATTTGTGCCTTTTGCTGTTGCAGTGATCACCGATGGAGCCCTGGACAAGACAGCCCTGACGGACGACGTGGGGAGCGAGGAGGATCTGTACGAGGAATTCCGCAGCTCCGGCCACCGCTACGGCCACCCCGGGGGCGGCGGCGAGCAGCTGGCCATCAACGAGGTACTGCTCCCACCTGTGTCCCTGCACACCTTTGGCTCCCTCTAACCCGGGCTCCTTCAGCTCTCTGTGCTTTCTGCCACTCACCCCCTGGAGAACACTGCTTTGCGCCTGAAGGCTTGGGGTGTAGTTAGAATAGAAGCGTGTGATTTCACGTGGATGCAGGATTTTGGGTGGTGTCTCTTTTTGGTGTTCACCTTCCTTCTTCATGGTTTCAGGCAGTAGTTTCTGGTTGGGCAGTTAGTGCTGCACTGAGGGTCACAAGAATTTGATTATTAGGTTAAAAGTATAAATAATATAGGTGTTATTTCTCTAATGGACTGTTTAGCTTTAAGAGACCTTGTAGTAGCTGGATCTTTCCCAATTTTCCTCTCTTCGAGCAGGTAACTAGAAGTGTTGCAGAACTCTCTGTACTTTTTGATAAGATTTAATAAACAACCAAGCACAAAGACAAGACAATCAGTTTCCTTCGTGTGTTTTTTAATCCTGGCTCTGAGTGAAGGCAGAAGAGGCTGAGACAAACCACTAATTAAGTGGTGCAAAACTCCCACCACTGTTACAGAGAAGGATGCTGTGGCTCTGGTTAACCACAGCCAAGCTGGTAATGGCACAATGGATGGGGCTTTAAATGTCATTTACAGCCAGGTGACAACAGGGTGCTGTCCCTGAGGCAATGCAGAGACACAGCACCTGAGCAAGTGACTCTCCTCTTGGGTGCTTTTGATTGAGAAGTTTAAAAATATTAATTATTGAAAGTGGTTAGTTTTTTTGTTCTGCCTTCACTCAGAATGCTTAAGAGATGGATTTTTTTGTTTGGACTTGGTTGTTCATTAACTCTTATTTAAAGTACAGAGAGTTTTTCGACACTTCTAGCTATTAAGCCAAAAGTGAGAAAATAGAGGTGAATTTAGCTAGCTGCAAGGTCTTTGAAAGCTTAACTATTTAAGAGCTAACATCTATATTATTTATACTTTTGACCCAATAACCAAATGCTTGTGACCTGCACTGCAGGATTCTTTATCTAACTAAAAACTGCTATGTGAATTCATGAAGAAGAAGGAACAAGAGCCACTGCCTAAGAACCTCCATCTTGTCCCATAGCTATTGCTATATTCTAAAACCTCAAATTTAAAACCCTTTACCATGTGAAATCACACACTTCTATTCCAACTGCACACCCCTGATTTTAACTCCATCACTCAAATTTGGAAGCCTTCTCCAAGGCCCCAGTTCAAAAGCAATGCTTCCTTGGGGGTCAATGTCAGAAAGCACAGAAAGTTCAAAACTCCCAGGCTTCAGGGTTCCAACAATTAATGAACTTGTTAAAAACATTCATGAACAAATTCAGACTTGGAATGTGTTGTACTGAAGTCATAACAGAGATGTTGAAAAAGTCCCTGAGACCTGTTTCTTTGTTCATAGGTAAGAAGGGTGCAAAGTTTAATGCAGGTTTGGTCTTCACTGTTTCTTCCTGTTCCCCAGTTTATTCACTTTAGGGATGTGAAAGACCTTTCTTTTTAGTCACTGGTTTTAGCTCTTCTCTTTTATAGTGCTGATCCTGATTAAGCTGACATCAGCAGTTTAAAAAGGTACTACTTGGTTTAAGCAATGCAATGAGCACTATGCTAACACATCTAAGATATTTTTCCTGTAAAAGTGCTATTTTTTATCTTGTGCATTAGAACTGGCATCCTGCTACAAACAGAATGCTTTTTCTGTGAGGTGAACTTGAAAGAGTGGAGCATGCTCACCACATGAGTGATTACTCCTACACCTTGTTTCTTTCCTCTACTCTGTTACATATACATGACCTTCCCAAGATGAGAAGGCAGGGATAAAAGAAGTGTTATATTTTCTTGTGGCTAAGCTATAATTGAAACTACGTGGCTCTCAGTGTGTGTATTTGATACACCCAGTGATGGTGCTTCTGGGGTCTGAAAAAGCTCCAGAAACCTACACAGTGAGGATAACAGCTTTTCTTCAAAAACAACAACAGCAAATGCTCTTCCAGCAGTTCTCCCACTGCTCACAATCCTCACCTACAGCCCTGGGTGCCTGGGCTAAGGGAGTTGCTTTATTTTCTTCCCCTGTTGCTTACATCCAGGGGTTATCAAACCATGGTCAGAGCTTTTCAGTTTAAAGTCAGCGTTCTTGGGCTGTTGTCACTGGCAAAAAAACATGAGCAGAGCACCAGAAAATCTTGAGTTGTGTTCTTCCATGTTTACCTGGTATGTTTATGAAAGTCCCAGGCACCACAGGAGTCAGTCTCAAAGCATGCACTGAGTCTGGGAGGAGGATTCTGCTTCCCTCCCAGTCAGTTGCTTCCATCAAACAGAATATCCTCTGTTCCTTTTTCCTTTTTCCATTTTCCCTTTCCTTTTTCGCTTCCCCC